CTTGTGGATGATTAACAAATGTTGTTACCCAAAAATTTGGGATTTTGGCGATCAATTCTGACCTCTTCTGAAAAAATGGTTGGCGGAGTTTGTTATATTTCTGTTCTACTTTCAATATTTCTTCACTGGCTTGTTCATTAAGTCTGAAGGAAATAGTCATGTCACCAATGATGGTTGTTTGACACAGAAATTGCTAGACTACAAAATGAACACTCTCGCTTTGAGACAGTTCAAAATCTACATTCTTAATAACTAAATCAGCTTACAGCTAGACACAAACCTTAACTTTAAAGTCCCAGAATAATAATTCTGGTTAACACTGTATATATATCTATTTACTGCATTTTTACCCAAACTCATCATCTTTTCCCTCAAAAAAATGTTCTTTATAAATAAAGCTGTTAAGTAACAATGTTACAAGCAAGTTAGTTCAGTACAAACACCCTAAGGTTCAATCATGAAAATTCCTACACAAGCACTTAGACTTGTAACATTGTAAAAAATTAAACCTAATCATTTAAATCAACATTCTTCTTAAAATTAAATCCTGTGACTGAATATATCAGAAAAATTACACGGGATGTATTTATTTCCAACTAAGATACAATCATCTCTTTGCCAACAAATAGAAATCTCCGTATTTCAAGGTTATCAGACCACTACATACATTCCAAAATGCCAAGGTAAACCAGGAAAAACTTTACCTGTCTATTTCATTTTGTACTTCATCGATGTGTTCAATTGCTTCTTGTTGCTCTTTTTCTGCAAAACAAAAAGCATAAAACAATACTATTATCTTCCTATTTAGACACGATGATAGGCGAGCAAAAAGCTGATTTCAAGAAGTGCATACACTGCAAGGTGCATTCTCCACGTGTTCATGCCCTCAAGTTGATAAATTACTTTCACATTAAGAGACCATTCGAGATACGCTGTAGTACTACCACAAACAAACCATTTCAATACAGCAAAACAAGATTTCGATAGTTATTTTCTTTTAGGAAAGATCAGGCCAGACTTATTCAGGAATTCTTGGTGTATTTATTTATCACATTATACACTTGCAAAGGAATGCCGGTTACTAACTAGCATCTGGAAACTAACACAGTACAGTTTAGAATTTGATTATCATTTATCTCAGTGGTACAAACACTTTTACATAAAGTTGAAGTACTCGGCATAATAAACATATCAAGAGAAACCGACAAAAATCTAATTCCCCAGAACTACACCACTGTGGCAAACCTTGCACTTGGGAGTCCTAGCACCGAAGCCCCGGAGAGGGATCCGACCTTCCCCACCGCTCCAAGCCAACCCCGGCGGAAGGATCGCCTAGGCGGGCCCGTACGATTTTAGGGCGCGCTTACTAGGGAATAACTATGAGGTTGGAAAACTACAGGGCGGAGGAGAAAAGAGGAAGAACAGAGGGTGTGCTACTCCTGTTTGGTGCCCTTTTGTCCGGTAGGAACTGCGAAAAGCTCTACAATGCTAAGTGGGCGTGCAGGGCCCGATCGCGCGGGTCATTTCCGGTGACCATCCCAGCATCCGCGGGGCCGCCAGCGGGCCCTTCTCGCTGAAGCAAAGGTTTCGGGGCGTCCCGCGGACCTCGCTTCTCCGAGGCCCGCGCCGGGCGGCCGCCCACGTGGGGAGCGCGCCAGGCGCCCGAGCATCCCGAGCTGCCCGGGCCCGCC